CAGCAAAAGGACCATCCAGGAGCAGTGAATAGATTATATTGGGCAGCAAAAAGGAACCAAGCCCAAGGGCAGCAAAGAACTGTTCTGGGACAGCAAAAGGACCATCCAGGAGCAGTGAATAGATTATATTGGGCAGCAAAAAGGAACCAAGCCCAAGGGCAGCAAAGAACTGTTCTGGGACAGCAAAAGGACCATCCAGGAGCAGTGAATAGATTATATTGGGCAGCAAAAAGGAACCAAGCCCAAGGGCAGCAAAGAACTGTTCTGGGACAGCAAAAGGACCATCCAGGAGCAGTGAATAGATTATATTGGGCAGCAAAAAGGAACCAAGCCCAAGGGCAGCAAAGAACTGTTCTGGGACAGCAAAAGGACCATCCAGGAGCAGTGAATAGATTATATTGGGCAGCAAAAAGGAACCAAGCCCAAGGGCAGCAAAGAACTGTTCTGGGGCAGCAAAAGGACCATCCAGGAGCACTGAATGGATTGTCCAGGGCCAGCAAAAAGGAGTGTTCAGGGGCGTTAAAGAGGTTGTCTCAAGGGGCAGTGAATGGATTGTCCTGGGGCAGGAAAAGGACCATCCAGGAGTAGTGAAAGAACTGTCCTGGGCAGCAAAATCTAACCAAGCCCAAGGGCATCAAGGAACTTTCCTGGGGCAGCAAAGGAAACTGTGCTGGGACAGCAAAAGGACCATCCAGGAGCAGTGAATAGATTATATTGGGCAGCAAAAAGGAACCAAGCCCAAAGGCAGCAAAGAACTGTCCTGGGGAAGCCAAGTAGTGAAAGAACTGTCCTGGGCAGCAAAATCTAACCAAGCCCAAGGGCATCAAGGAACTTTCCTGGGGCAGCAAAGGAAACTGTGCTGGGACAGCAAAAGGACCATCCAGGAGCAGTGAATAGATTATATTGGGCAGCAAAAAGGAACCAAGCCCAAGGGCAGCAAAGAACTGTTCTGGGGCAGCAAAAGGACCATCCAGGAGCACTGAATGGATTGTCCAGGGCCAGCAAAAAGGAGTGTTCAGGGGCGTTAAAGAGGTTGTCTCAAGGGGCAGTGAATGGATTGTCCTGGGGCAGGAAAAGGACCATCCAGGAGTAGTGAAAGAACTGTCCTGGGCAGCAAAATCTAACCAAGCCCAAGGGCATCAAGGAACTTTCCTGGGGCAGCAAAGGAAACTGTGCTGGGACAGCAAAAGGACCATCCAGGAGCAGTGAATAGATTATATTGGGCAGCAAAAAGGAACCAAGCCCAAAGGCAGCAAAGAACTGCCCTGGGGCAGCCAAAGTGCCATCTGGGAGCAGTGAAAGGATTGTCCAGGGGCAGTAAAGGGACCATCCCCAAGGGCAGCAAAGGAACTGTGCTGGGGCAGCAAAAGGACCATCCAGGGGCACTGAAAGAACTGTCCTGTGCAGCAAAAAGGAACCAAGCCCAAGGGCATCATGAAGACCATCCCTGGGGCAGCTCAGCCATCACAAACCCCCCAAAATCAGGACAGGGTCAGAGCATCAAGTCAGTTTATTGCCCATTGCTGACAGCACTGGTGGCTCTGCGTTCCTGGAGCATGTGAGGCCCCTCAGTGGGACAAGCAGGATGGGGAAGGGATGACTGGATGTGCCCTGCCTGTCAGGGCTGTCCCCAGGGTGCCCCCGAGGCTGGTGGGCTCCAGGCACTGAGCTCCCCTGAGTCTGACAGGTCCTGGGCAGCCACCTGGACGTGGTGGAGGGTGCCAGGCCGCACGTCCCGCAGGGTGTGGGATGTCAGCTGGAAGGGCCCAACCTAGGGCACAGCAGGGTCAGGGCACACAGTGTCACAGCCCTGTGTGTGCTGCAGCCTCGGGGCAGGGAGGGGGTGGCAGTACCGTGGTGGTGGTGGTGGCAGAGTCCTTGTCCTGGGAGTAACGGATGTGGTACTTGAGTGGGAAGTACTCTGGGAAGGGCCAGGATGATGGTGGGTTCCACTCCAGCCGCAGCTGCTTGGGCTCCCCAGGGATGGGGGAGACCCTCAGGTCCTCAGGGGGGTCAGGCTTTACTGAGGGATGGGGAGACAAGGAGTCATGGAATGGTTTGGGTTGGAAAGGACCTTAAAGAGCATCTCGTGCCAACCTCTGCCATGGGCAGGGATGGTTTCCACTAGCCCAAACCCTATCCAACCTGGCCTGGAACACTCCCAGGGATGGAGCAGCCACAGCTGCTCTGGGAAATCCATTCCAGTGCCTCAGCACCTTCACAGGGAGGAATTTCTTCCCAATATCTAACCTAAACCTACACTGTGTCAATGTGAAGCCATTCCCCCTTGTCTTGGCACTCCAGGCCCTTGTAAATAGTCTCTCTCCATCTTTCTTGCAGGCTCCCTACAGGGACTGGAAGATCACAACTTGGTCACCCTTGAAGCCTTCTCTTCTCCAGGCTGAGAAATCCCAACTGTCTCAGCCTTTCCTCATAGGAGAGCTGCTCCACCCCTCATAGGGAGGAATTCCTTCCTAATATCCCATATAAATCTCTCCTTGTTCCGATTAAAACCATTTCTCTTGTCCTACCACTGTTTGTCTGTGTAAAACTTCACTTCCTTTTCACGTGAAGGGGTGAGGTGGTGGCTGAGGGACCCAGCGTGGGGTCCCTGGGGACAGAGACACTGTATCCCCCTGCCCTGTGGGCTGAGCTATGCAATCCACACTGCAGAGCCAACCTGAGACCCAGCAAATCATTGCCCTGATGATCCCACATCCCAAACAGAGGAGAAACCATAGGGAAAAGGCCCAAAGGACACCCCAGGGCTGGACCAGCCCCAGGTGGGGTGAGGTGTGAGGGGTTTGGGGATTACCCCTGTGTCCCCATGCCAGCAGCACTCACTGATGTTCTCCAGGAGGAAGGGCAGGAGGCTGGAGGCAGCACCCAGGGGGTTCACAGCTGTCACATTCACCACGTAGGGGCTGAGGGAGAACACCTGGAGGTCCCCAAAGGAGCAGCTCCTCGGCCCCATGAGCACACACTCACCCGTCTCCCCGGGCCCCCCAGTGCCATCCCTGGGGGCAGAGCAGACAGCTGGGTGAGGAGGGGGTGACACAGGCATGGGGGGGCTCAGGCAGGGCTGGGGGATCCCCACTGACCTGTATGTGGCCACGAAGTGAGTGTCCAGCAGTGGGTCAGGGGTCAGGCCCCAGGAGCAGTTCACTGTCTGCGGGTAGCTGATGGCCCAGCACTCGATGGTGGGTGGAGAGGGGGGATCTGGGGCAGGGGACAGGGGTCACCCCACTGCCAGAGTCCTCAGGGGACCCCCAGACAAGGGACAGG